TATCGAGTTTTTTCTGTATTTTCTACTGCTTTTCTGTATTTCTTGTTTTTTTCTCATTCCAGCTTGGCCTTACCCAGAGCGTGGTCTTTGTGGACGGAAGTAACGAACGCCGGAGGTCATGTCATGGGTTCCTCATGGCAGTGTCCTGGGCCCAACCCCCTTTGACATTTTCATAGATGATGTCACCCGGACCTTGCGTTGTACACCACTTCTGTATGCAGACGACCTTACAATTGCGCGGCAGATCCGAAACCCTATCTACAACCAACTTCAACATGATTTGGGCAGTGTTGTCGTCTGGTGAGACAAAAAAACTTTCTCTTTAAACAACGCCAAGTGCACTACGATGAAGATATCCACATCCACGCCAAACCAACTTGCACCCCCGAGCTTCAACTTCGGAGGGGTGAATATTTCTAGAACGTCCTCCACCAGACTTCTAAGCGCCACGCTGGAATGCTGACTCAGCTTTAACACTCACATTGCTGAAGTCAAGAGCTCGCAGAATGTTGGCATTTGCGACCTGTGTCTTAAGAGCTGAGCAGGAGCCACGACACTAAGGCACCTCTACACTGCACTGCATGCTGCTCTGCACCTTGCGTACTGTGCCGCAGTCTGGGACAACCTTCAGGCCGCCTTGACCGCGTCACACCACAGTGCGCAGAGACGTGTCGCAAACACTATCCTGCGGTGGCACTTCCCTCATGTCCCACGTTATCGGGACTTGGCTACAGACGACCTAATGACAGGTGTTGATTGGAACTCTTTGGCCTTGCGTTGGCGCTCCTCACCGATGCGGCTCTTGGCTACCTGTCTCTTCCAAGGGTCTGTTGAGCTTCCTCTTGTTCGCCAGCTGCGGCTAAACAGGACCGAAGGGCTTCAGCCGCTGTTTGCCCGTACAGACTGACAGCGACACACCTTCCTTATTAGCAGTGTTGGGAAGTACACCCGTGAGCGATATGAAGGTGAACAGCCCTCTTCTTGTTTTTGACGCTCCTGCAAGTTTTGGAACAAGCTCTGTTCCAGAAAAGGGCTAGAAGGGAAAGTTTAGACCCCAAGCCACGTACTATTTGAGACGTTCAAAGTTATAGCTTTAGGGAGCCGTAAAACAGGCAAGAAATCAGGTAAGGTGTTCATCTTCATATTGCCGCAGCGGGTGTACTTCAAGTAAATTGGACTTAAAGTATTACTTCAAGTGGGATTAGAAAACGTGTAATTTACTTGAAGTACGTTCTCTGATTATATAGGTGTACTTAATTAAAGTATTTTTTCTGCTACTTTCCAAGGAAAGTACAACTCCAAACTTGAAAGTACATTCGCCAAATTTGGTATCGGTGAAACTATGCTCCTTCAAGGACAATGCGCTCGTGCTGTTGGCTTTCCCAGTAAGGTCGAGTCCAACCTCTAATAAAAGGAATGGTGTATCGTCATGTGAAAACGCGATATCGATCGTCTTTCGAAATGTCATCCCGACATTTCTAGTGAAGTAATTGGTGTTGTAGGACCGCTACAAAGAAGGGCCTTGTAAGTTGATTGTGTTAAAAATAGTTCGTGCACGAGACTAAAACAAATACTCTTTGGCCACTTAACTTTATCCAATACTTGTCGCCATTTCCGAAAATACTGATGCCGTCCCGATTACCCCTGGGGTAATGCACACCAAGGGCATCGCGAATGATTGCGTTAAAAAGTAGTTACACTTTACTTTGAAAGTACATTACACCCGGTGTACTTACTACCTTACTTGAAGTCCATAACCTCTCATTCACTTTCTACTTTACTACAAGTACTTTTTAGATGTACTTTATCCAACATTGCCAACAATAGTGCAGCACCGCAGCACCTACTTTGTCGGTCGTAAAAAAAATGTCTCCCTGGAGCCGACGACGTGCGGCAAGGACCCTATAACAAAGACAAGCTAGTTCAATTTTAGTGAAGGCTTGTTGTTGTTATTCTCTTAAATAGGTCATATGTCACTCAATGTTCTGCCATCGCAAGTTAGTTCAAGTCACTGTAAACCGTTAATGAGAGTCCAAACAATAGGAAATGATTTATTTTTAAATATTGTCATGTAATTTTGTCACATTTAGGAAAATGAGCAACGTTTTTGTATAAATAACAAAACTACAATAATGGTTAAGCATATCTTTATATATTTGCAAATTGCGTCTAAATATGTGGAGTTTGGTATATTTTTCATCGTTTTATGTGAAGTAGTTCGTTGGTAAATGATTTGAGAATGTTTATCACAAATTTTGTCCAGTTGACGTGCTTCGGAATTCTTTTTTGCGTAAAAATCATTTATTGTAATTTTTAATATGTTGTATACATGTCGCAAACCTTTCATAAAAGAAGTAGAAACATTTTTACTATGTGCATGCTTCGGCGTAAAATTGACGCCTATACAAAGTACCATGGCGAAACCTTGGCGATCTACGCGTTTTAAACCTCAAAAATTTATATCTAAAAAAAAAAAAAAAGAATAGCTACGGGGTTTGCATATAGCTAAATGCTCATCGCAATAACACAAATATAACATATATATACTAGACCAGTGGTTCTCAAATTAGGGTCCGCGGACTTTTTGGAGTCTGCGAAGGCATTCTAGGGGTTCGCGAATCTTTGCCTGATCAGTCAAGCCCGGCAATTAAAGCTGTACAATTTTCCCAATGACATAAAACGATCCAACTTTCGGGTAAGTTTTCTCGTCTGTATGCCAATCAGAGAAGTCTACTTCGCACTAGCCCTTAGTTTTATTCCTTTATTAACTCATTATCATAATTAACTTAAACCTTTCCCTTCCCTTCACCACAAACGGGGTCCTCCACCATATCCGCCAATCCACAAGGGGTCCGCGAAACATCAATGGTTGAAAACTACTCTTCTAGACAAACATAAAAAAAAAAAATAACCTGGTCCATCATTGCACGATCTGAATTGGAAACACACACGTACAACAGACAATATTACTATTCATTTAGTGCTTAAATTGGTTCTCGGGGAAGTATACGTACACAGCCTCCCACAATACAGGAGACCCATCTACCGACGCAGCAAAGGCGGCGGTGCTAAGCACAATTTGGCCAGAGGCACTTGATTTTTAGAGAAAGAATAGCAAAGATTCAGTTATTTCCTCACCCCAAGCAATATTGACCTGACCCATGCCAAGAAGTCCAGCAAAATCTCCTTCAAATGCATCGCCGAAAGGGTCTTTTGTATTCTTGGAGACAATATAGACCATAGTATTGGAGACCATATAGACCATAGTTGGCGGGTACAGTTCAATCCTGACAGAGTATTTGTGCTAGCCGAGGTTTTTAATTGAACATGACCTAACTATCCGGAACATAATTTGCTGCTGGAAGTTTGTTTTCTTTCCGCCTGAAAACAGCCGGTCGAGAATTGGCCGGTTTTAGTAGCGCTCACTCTCTTTTCCATGGTCACGTGGCGTTCAAACTATGTGTAGCAGATATATTCAAAGTCGTGGGTCATCTAAGACACACATTCATTATTAAAAATATGAAATAACATGAAGCCCATTTTCGTGAGGTCCAAAAAAAAACTGCAAATACGTTAATAAAAAAAAAATGTTGCACAGCCCAAAGGAAGTACATGTTCTACTGTCGAGAACACTTATAACGAGGTCGGTTATAACGAAAGAGCGGCTACAGCGAAGCCATGACGATTTCCCATTCCCTTTTGCACTTCGTTATAACCGAAGTCGGTTAGAACGAAGTGGCGGATATAGCAAAGTGATTTCCGATTCCCGTTGACTTCGTTTTAACCGGCCTCGACACTACGTCGTTTTCATATGGCGACGTTTCGCGGGCTGGACGACGCGATGGAGGCGAACGACGGGCAACGTTGCGACGGACGTGGGGTCGCTACTTCGGAACTGTTGTTCGTGGTAACGGCCAATCGATCTTCAAGCCCAGAGCATCGAGCGGAAGGGATATTTAAACTTTTTGACAAGGGGGCAGCCATCTTGAATGTCGTCACTTCCGGTATGCGTTAACGTTATTAGATTTGCTCAGTTATGGAACTGCTCATAGACGCTGAATGCACGAGCAGTAGCCCGCCTCACTCACCACGACTCGCCTCCAGTCGTTCGACGCTATGGCAACCGCAGTGTATTCTATGGAATGCATACGTTTCGAAGCGCAGCGTCTAGATGGCGCTCCAGGTCTGCTCTATGGAACACACACTTATGACACGAAAACCTAGGTGGCGCTTCAAACGACGGGAGGCGGACTGAAGTGACTGAGGGGGGTACCCCCTTCCTCGGGAGTTCCACGACTGAGGAACTCTAGTAAATTTTGTATGCGTTAAAACAACGTTTTGATATCTCCACGCTGTTGGAAGGTGTTCACGAAAAACGGGACTGTCACACATTCATGTTTGCCTCACCCATATGTTCTCGCAAATTCCAGTTTGAAATGTTTTATTATTTTTTCGTCCCGCATACCAGACACAGAACCCACGTGACTGAGAACGAAAGGAAACTAGAAACGTCTATACACGTTTGCAAGTCCGGTTTCAGGGCGCTGCCATCTTGCTCGCTGGGGTGCGCTTGGACGCGTCCTAATCCGATTATGAAGCCTTGCTAAGGTGTCATAGTCAAATTATGGCCGCGCCCAAGCGCACCCCACTGGGCAAGATGGCGGCGCCATGAGACCGGACTAGCAAACGTGTATAAGTTCGAAACAATCGCACGACAAACGGTGCACGCAAGTTTGTCGTCGTCGTCGTCTGCTTCAAATGCCGAAAAAGAAAGAAAAAAAAAAGAAAAAAAAATCGAGGTCAGATGTAGTCTTGTGACTTCCGGCCAAGAGCCTGCTCGTGTTTCGGTTTCAATTTCGAGGAGATGTTTTTTTTTTTTTTTTTTTTTTCATTATTAAAAATATACGTGACTGCAGCAAAATATTGTTTGGGCTCCGTATCTGGTATGCGGGACAACGCCATATTGAATCGCCTGAAAAAATTGTGTGTTAGTGTTTTATTCAAGTAACTCGGATTTTCAGTTCACTTTTTTCTTTTGTGGTAACAGGTTTGCCCTCAGAACACGGCTGCTCAAGGCCAGTGTTGTAACGGCTGTTAGCCCTCCAGGACACGAAGGAACCCCAGAGAAGCCCCATAAAGTCGGCGAAAAGAAGGCGGTAGTTCAGAGGCACGAACCGAAAGTTGACGACCTGCGTCGCCGGCCAGAAGACCAAGTTGACCGCCAGAGTCCCGAGGTACTTGGCCCGAATGGTACCACCAATGGCTCCCCAGCTCCTCCACTCGAGGACGCCGAAAACCACGAAGACGCCAAGCAGAAAGATGGGCGCGAAGACCAGTTCCGTCAGCACCACGTTCAGAGCCACACCGGACACATCCGTGCTCGGAGACATCCAGTCGAGTGCTTGGTACCACATCCTCAAGACCGGACCGCAGTAGGCGGCCCCAACGGTAAACGCCACGGCGGCTCTTTTTAGGTTCAGGGGTCGCCGGCGTTCGATGAGCGTCTGGGTGAGGACATCGCCGACTAGGAGCATCAGTGCGTTGCTCAAGACCTGCGCGATGGCAGGATGGGTGTCCATCGCGTGGTCGTACGCCGCAAGAATCGCCGGCATCTTCTGGGGCGGGCTGAAATCCGGTAACTCGTTGGCTGCGTAACGCTCCATGCGACGAGTTCAGCCAGGTTTGCTGTGGCCTGTCCCTGTGGTGCAGAGAGGTAAAAGGACACAGCTGGAGCTTGCTACAGCTGCGCGACAGAAGTAGGGCATGGCGCATCAAGTCAAAGCCTCGCTGCGCATACATCATACAAAAGACACGCGTTGTTCAATGCAGACACGTATATATGCGAACCAGAGTGTCGAGCCAAAAGTTTTACCGGTTCGTTTTGGGTTCGGGTTTACGGCTTTCGATTCAGTTCCGGTTTAATTCCGGTTCAGCTCAGGAAAGCAAAAAGAACGGTTCAGACCGGTTCGAACCGGTTTGAATAGACTCGAACTGGTTTGAATCGCTAAATATTTAACATATTCCTAACATTTTTTTTCGCAATACACCTTTTTTACGTAGGCGCCGCCATCTTCAATTCTGGAACTTCCGGTATATGCGTGAAAACATTGCTTTCTTCTCGCCTTGACAGTAGAACCTGTTAATATTTTAACTGCAACCGTCAGTCGTTCTTGTTATGACCCTTCTATACTTTTTTACTCGTTCTGGGTTGTAATCTCTTGCTTTGTGTTCGGAACGCATACCGGATAGGGGGACAACTTGGCTGGGTGCGAGGCTAAACAAAAAAGGTGTATAGACATTACTTCAGGCGTTAAGTCAATTTTTTAATAGTTCGTAGACTGCTCTTCTATTTTTTATTTAAAAAAGAAACACAGAAGAAATTTCCTTGTCCTACAGACACGCATCAATCCAAAAACTAGGTTTCAATAAAACTTTCGTTTGTACGCCACTGAATTTTAAATTGTTTTCCCAGGTCGCGTGTTTTACTGAATCGAAGAACTGTTACAAAGCGAGGTTAGTCACCTGAAATACCAGTAATTGCTGCGGCTTAGTGTCACATTCTTAAGAGTTAAATTCTGGCTGTGCACTTAGCAAGTAATTTATTATGGTAGATAAAATTATGGAATGCGCACTGCGCCGGCCTATATATCTCACAAAAGGGGGAATGATGGCCGAGTGTTTTACCGCACACCAGCTCGTAGCACGTGGAGCGAAAGCTTGCGCTGCAGAACCCAGGGATACTGGACTGAATGTAAGACGTTTAGCATGCTTGCAGGGTTATTGCCATCTTGACTGATAAGTTTCGAATACTGCACTTCACCAGGAAACAACCCTTTCTATGAATGAATGGCTTTTTCGTAACCTCATCGCATAATGCCTTTTGGCCAGGGTCACCTTTTCTTGCTGAAAAAAAGCAAATTTATTTGTAAGAAATGCGCGTTGCAGAAAGTACGCAATTAGCACCAAGGTAACTAAAATGGCCACCGATATAATGTCAATGAAAACCCTGTATTCGAGATAAACAAATCATTATTGCTTGGTGTGTCGTTGCGAAGAACGGCGCAAGCGTGTGGCACCATAAAAACGCGATTTCTGAAGCGATTGTTTGTGCAAACAAAGTAGTTTTCGGGGCCACACTCTCTGGTATTTGTTGGGCAGCATGTTCGCCCATAAAACTCATATAGATTTTTTTTTTATTTTCACCGCAAAAATAAACTGCACATCACCTAAGGCTTATTTTCTACCAAAATATAGCACTACCGGCCCAAAACAAATGCCAAATTTTCAAAATTCCCCGTTATCTCTTAAAAAAAAAGTTAGTGTATTTTGAAACATTTTAATCAGAATATGGGGCCAGTTCTTGGTAACTGCCGCCATCCAGCTTCATAGACTCGACGGCTTCGTCGGCCTTCATTTTCCCACTGAAAATTGCAGAAAATATCTTATAACTTTTGAACAAGGTAATGGTTAGTTATGAAAATATGGCACATAGTTCGAAACGCTAGCTCTACATTTGTGTACAAAATGAGGTTTCAAAGATGCATAGTTCATTTCTGCGTTAAAACAAATCTTTATTTTTTATTTTATTTAATTCTTGTTGGGGGAGGGGGAACGCGGTATCCTATAGATATGGCGCCAAATAACATTTACAACACAGTATGTTTCTAAAACTATCCTTCCCTCTCTTTTTCTGTCCTTCTTTGTTAATTGGGTGATACCTTTATATTGTGATTTCCGCACCCGAAGAGTGGGAAGACTGGGAGGTCGTCGAAGGTGGCAGAAAGAACTTAAGAACGAACCTCCTGCGAAACTGAGAGCGCCTGCCAACATGTCGCTAGTGGGCTTAGCTTCTGATCTTAAAACCCCTTAGCCAGACGTCTGCTGTCCGTCTGAGGACACCGGGATCTTTCTTTTCATATATCCCCCCCCCCCCCCCCCCCCCCCTGATTGTACAGACTTGTAGTTCTATACAATGTCCGGTCCGGTTAATAAGTTACATTTAGTTCCTTTCAGAAATAAAACATACACATTTAGAAGCCTCGGTGCTACCTATGTGTTAAATGGTTAAATGGGCCGTGCAGCGGTTTCTGTACTTTAAAGGGGCACTGACACATCAAAATCATATTTTTTTTTATTATCCGAAACGGTCGAAAACGATGCCGGGACATTACCCTCAAAATTTGAAATTTGGGAATTCAGTATTCGTGAAGTAAAAAAACAATTTCCAAATGCCGAATTCGAAGTTCCCGCGCGATCGGCGCCGGTGCCTTGACGTCAAAAATTGCGGAGACCTGAGAGTCCCCTTTCCTGTCACCACTCCCTGCTGTTGCCATGGCGACCCAAAGCGAGGAGGAAAGGAGCGAGCGCCGGCTAGCGCCGGCGTTGCGGCGGACCGGTTTTGAGCGGTGTCGCCTGTTTTCCGTTGGAGGATACAAATCCAGGAGACGGCACCACAACGAACTCCCGATTTTTGGTATTTCAAAAAGAAGGGCCGTAGTGCGTTCGCAATTGCGTTAAAAAACATGTTTTAGGATTGCCGTCATTAAATGTTATAAAGATGCCGCCTACAAAGCTTCTAAATTTCCTGATTTTTGACGTCACCGATCAAAAGAAGCGAGGAGGCGAGAGGCGGGAAAATCAAACGCCAAAAATAAAAAGGCGCGCGTGCGCGCGGGAAAATTTTTTTTCGCGACGCGGTTTTTTTTGCGTGTCTATGGCTGCAACTTGCATCGTTTTAGACAATAAAAATAAATACGACCTTTGGGGTGTCAGTGCCCCTTTAAGTACATATTCCGATGAGAACTAATCCTTGACGTTAACAACGTGCGTAATACGCAATAACCTTTCTCTCTGCGCAATGGCAATCGCAAAAAAAAAGTAGCGTTTACGCTTTGAACTTGCAATCAAGCGGTCACATAATCTAGTATTACTAACATCATAAGCACGTGCTGGGAATGGCAAAGCAAACGGCGCGCGCTGAGCTTTAGAAATTTTACCATTTTGTTAATACACCCGAGACAGGGTGAGAAAATCTTGAAACCATCAAAGTAGAAGATACAGGGAAAGAAGGCAGTCAGGCGACGTCTCAAACTCAGATAATACGTGTTTTAACAAAATGGTAAACTTACGCAAGCTCGCCCGCACCCTCACTTTCTTTTCTTTAGAAATTGTTTTTGGGGTTCGTCTATTTCCATCCTTGATTCAACACGACCCAGTACTCGAACGTTGGCCTTTGCTATGATTGCCACGAGCCCCATTCGAATGCATGAGCTCACGACAAACGAGTACGTCGTGGTATCTCTTGACACATGCTGCGAAGCTGTAGTGTCGCGTGACGTCACGGTGTGAACAAAAGTCGCGGTGTCGAATGATGGCACAGCGTGATGCTATGCGACGGCCTAACGCCTTGATCTCGAGCGACCACATCGCATAATATCACGTGATTCCACCATTTCTCATTCATAGCGATTTTCTATCTGACGATTTTCTGAGGTATATAAAAATAGCACCGCAATATTCGTTTTAGAGCGCAGCTCTTAGGTGCCCGTTTCCGGGTTTATCGATAGACGTCGCCGTAGCCGTCGCCGTCCGCGTAACGGCGCATTGAATTATGGGACGTTTCCCATAATGACGTCACACGTGACCGCAACGAGGCTAAGATTTTCCGATTAAATTTGGCTTGAAATTTTTTCACTAAATTTAGCGGGGAAAATTTTATCATCGTGACGTCACACGTGACGCCAGCAGACTCGGGAATATTTTTTCGATTAATTTTTTTCCAGAAAATTTAGACGTCACGCGTGACGTCACGTGAATGAGTCTTACGTCACATGAAATACAGCGGTGAAACGTTTCCGCTAAATTCCTCAAAAAAATTTCCTGGCTATATTTAGCAGGGAAATTGACGTCACGTGACCTCAACACCCGATTTAGTTTCCCCGATAAATAAAGCGGAGAAATTTTCGCTTAATATCCCGTTACATTTAGCGGAAACATGTTCGTAAATTTCCCGCTTAATTTAGCGGGATTTTTTTTCCGCTAATTTTAGCGGGGAAATTTTAGCTAAATTTAGTGGGAAATTCGGCGAAAAGTTTCCGCTAAATTGGAGGGGAGCAGGAGTGGAGAAGGAGAGGAGGGAATGTACGGAGGGGGAGGAGGGGCATGCCCTCCCCTCCTCCTCTTCAAGAGCTGCGCTCTAATTCGGCATTACAGAGAATTGTAAACGCCTTTCATTTTTTGTGATATCATATATTCAGTTCAGACACTTGGCAATATATATATATATACAGGGTGTCAAAAAAAATACAATTTTTTTTTTGTCGCAAAAATACACCAGACATCGCCGAACGCTGATCCTCCACCCAAAGGTAGCGCTAGAGGTCACAACCAGATGCCAAAGTTTCAGCCCGATCCGATACCTTATTCAAAAGTTATAAGTGATTTTCTGAAAAGCTTTTTAGAAAATCACTTGCTTTTGAATAAGGTTTCGGATCGGGCTGAAACTTTGGCATCTGGTTGTGACCTCTAGCGCTACCTTTGGGGGGGGGGGGGGGGGGGGGGGGGGAGAATGAGCGCTCGGCGATGCCTAGTTTTGCGATAAAAAAAAAGAAAACTGTATTTTTTTTTGTGACACCTTGTATATTAGGTTAAACCGCTCTTAACC